ATTCTGTTGGTTGAACTTGATGTAAAGTTATTTAATAATATAACATGTAAAGGATTATTTAAGAATTATGATTCCACATTGTTTCAAGACTGTGAGAATAAGGAAGAAAGTTGGCAAGGAAGATTATATGTAATCATGATGTGTTAAACAGCTCTGGAGAAGACAGCAACGTTCCCATTCAACAACACAACATATAACCTGGTGACTAAGGAAAAGCTGATAATCCATTCTAAGCAGAACAGTCTTTGAGTTAATTTTATCTACAACAAATGTTTATTATAAAAATCTCGATAGATTCTGTCATTCGAGGTACCAACTGGTTGAATTGATCATTAATAACACAAGCAGCTAGTTTAGAACTATTGGAAGTAGGAGACAAATGCAAATCAAAATTATTTTTTACTTTCTTGGGGGAAAAAGTGGGGCTTGGGGCAAATGATTGCTTGTATTTCAACAGCAATAAGGTGAATTTAGCAGCATGAGACACATAAGTAGAGTGCCTAATTTAATTCATGTCAAGTAGAATACTGTGCCTGCATTCACATTTTTAAGTGCTGTGAATTGTGAAGAGCATTAGTCTATTCCACGCGCATGAGACTATCAGATGTGTCTCCCTTGCTGATATGGATGCCAGGGCTTTAATTTCTATTGAAGATAGTTGCTATCTGCATTGGTTACAAGAGAAACAATTGGGAGGAAGTAGAATCATCCTGTGGGAAACAGGGAAATTGTCTAGAAGGAAAAAAATAGTCATGACGTATAATAATGAACTGAATGGATTTGCAGCTCAATTACCTCTCCTGAGAAAACTAGTCCTTCAATTCAGCAGACGTGCAAATGTGCCTCATTTTTTGCTAAAGCCTCATTTCTCCCAGGTCTAGTATGGTATCACAATCTCCACTCCTGTATCTGCTATAAATGTTAGTGTCCTTGCCAGACAGAAAGTGTGTGTCTGAATTTTTCACATCTTCTCAACATAAAATAGTCTCCCGGTAAAATTTTAATTGGCAATATTTTTAGCAGATGAAAATATTGATGTATAAGCCATTAATTTTACAAGGAAATGGAACAATGTAGGTATCCTACAAACCTAATTACCTTCATAAATTACATTTCTGACAGTTGTGTGGTCAAGAAAGGGAAAAATGTTCTAATTTAGCTTTTCGTGATCAAGATCCATCTTCCTGTAATCTTGGTACCCAATTGTTCTCTATTAATGATTTCTTAAGAAGGAAGAATGTCTATTCTGTACTTAAGTATGAGCGTTCCTACTTCTGCATCTAGCAGAGGGAGTAAACTGTCTGGGAAAATTGTATTTTAGCGTTTTAAGCTGATCTACATGATAAATTTTCCTTAAAGACAAAATCAAATACCAAATTGCCTCACATATTCCTATGTGAAGTCTATAAGAGATGTGGCTACATTTCTATTTTTATTTTGTTATGATATATTCCACAGTGTTTCCAAAAATAAGGATGTCATTCCCAGATGCCTATTCAGCCTTCTTTAAAGTATAGCAGTGTCTTCCAGATGGCTAATGATTAGAGTTTCAGTCAAGCATTTCTGGATGGTATGAAGAAAACTTGTCTTACATGAATCCTACATCTGTTCTATGCAGCCCTTTATTGAGTTCGGACTCACTGGAGAAGAGCCTAATGCTGGGAAAGATGGAGGGCAATAGAAGAAGGGGACGACAGAGAATGAGGTGGCTGGATGGAGTCACTGAAGCAGTAGGCATGAGCTTAAATGTACTCCAGAAGGTAGTAGAGGACAGGAAGGCCTGGAGTAACATTGTCCATGGGGTCGCGATGGGTCCGATACGACTTTGCAACTAACAACAACAAAATGTGAGGCAGTCCCACTTTAGGGTAGAGGTTGAGGGGAGGAAAAAAATAGGAAAAATACAGGCTCATTCATGCCTGATGTTGGCAATCAGATTTGAAGCTAATGAAATGTTTTGCTTTTTAGTAAGACAAGGAAAGAGCAGACTAGCTTCCTCAGCCATAACTATGTGACATATGGCATTCCTGTTAACAGCAAGGAGACAATAATGGTTAGTTTTAAATATACTGGCAGAGTTTGGCTAGCCATTATGCCACAAACTTAATAGTTAGTACGGTTCACAAGACCATGGAGGAGAATTTAAGTGGAGATAGTTGACATCTGATCTACTTCTGGAATAGCCAATTTCTGATTTCCATGATATTTTAAAAGGAGCCCATTTCCTTCTGCTGTTACTATTTTCAAAACTATATAAATTTGGATCTGACGCTAAAGGCACAAAGATGACAGTCAATCTCTCCAAGCTATAGATGTATTGCTTAGTGGCTGGGACTTCTGTAACCAAATACTTTGTAGTGTTTTGTTTACAGCTTAGTACTGAGGCTGTTCCTTGGATGAAGAAACATTTTCTATGGATTTTTTGAAAATGATTTATTAGAATAGACTTGTAGCACGAGTTGTCCTCAGGTCATGAAAAATGATGCATGCTTTATTTGTGTTAAAACCAGCGTTTGAAAGTTAGTGCTCTGGTGATTTCTAGGTAGTGGCATTCACTTGGTTATATTATGTATCAAACAGTAGGCAGCCTCTTTATGGCCATTTAACATGTTTGAGGAGGTTGAGAGCCACAATATCAGTGGATCAGTATCCTGATATCCCTGATCAGGGTTGGTTTTCTAAGGGTCTTAAGGATTTTTGTTTGTTTATTTTAACTGTGATCTGCCTATATCTAGGTTTATATGAGTTTTTATTCCTGTTTTACTTGAAATGGCATGGAAATACATCATCATTGTTCATCAGTATGTCACAGGGAGCCTCTGAGGGCATTACTTTAAATCCTCTGGATTTAACTCTTCCAAGAAAAACACGTGTAGAATTGATTGCTTCCATCAAGCATTTGGGAAAGTGGCCCAATTATTTTTATAACATGGCTTTAGGCAGCTCTAATTTTACATATGTTGGCAGCCATTTGAGACATATTTCTGTGTCTAGAATGTAGACCGTATGGCATTCTAAGAACTTTTCTCACTACAATATTGTGCCCTGTTCATAAAACTGTCCTGGGAAGTTTTGCTACTAAGTTAAATTTTTAAAATGTGAGTCTTCTAATATAAATCTTGCCTTTTACAGTATGTTGTGACTGTTTGTTGTATTAGAAAATGCTGTATACTGAACTGCATTAGAATATCTGCAGGAGATGAAATTGTAACAATTTAGATTTGAGAGAGAAAAAAATAACACATGAGGGTTTGGAGTCTTGATAATGCCATTCTGTTTTTGTTTTCTTGCATACTCTGCTGTGTCTTTTCAAAATATTCTTCATTTGCCACAGGTTAATTAGTAAATCACCATGAGTGAGTCTGAAAACAGGAATCTGCCTTTCTTTGTCAAATTAGGCCATTGATCCATCTGGTATGTCCTGTGGTGTCTGTAGTGCAAGATAGGCAACTAACGCTCTCCAAGTGTTCTAGCCTCCAGCAGGGTGACCAATGGTCAAGAATTAGAGGAGTTGAACTTTAAAACATCTGAAGGGCACTCATTTACAGTTTTTTTTACATCAGAGGTGTTCACCAGAGATTGTTTTACCTCTCTGTTTGGTTTCATCTCACTTCTTACATCCAGTTTGAACAGAATGCAGACAAAGATTTCTACCGTATATTCTGGCGTATAAGGCGACCCGGTGTATAAGACGACCCCCGTCTTTGGCACCGAGTCGCATGCCTAGAAAGTTGTCTTATATGCCGGAAACTACCGTTATTTCCGGTGTATAAGACAACTTGATATATAAGACGACCCCCAACTTCGGCGCCGATTTTAACACTTGCGAAAGTCGTCTTATACACTGGAAAGTACGGTACTTCCCTCTGAATTTTTTAACATTTATCAAGCTTACTGTGAGATTTTTTAAAAAGTAGGAATATTTTTACTTATTTATTTTTTCAGTTTATGTAGCTGCCCATCTCAAATAAATGACTCTGGGTGGCTCACAATAGTGGTGTGGTGAAAAAAAAGCTCTTGACCAAGATATTTCAATATAGGTAGTCCTCGACTTACGACCACAATTGAGCCCAAAATTGCTGTTGTTAAGTAAGGTAGTTGCCCCATTTTATGACATTTCTTGCCACAGTTGTTAAGTGAATCACTGCAATTGTTAAGTTAGTAACCCAGTTGTTAAATGAGTCTGGTTTCCTGATCGACTTTGCTTGTCAGGAGGTTACAAAAGGTGACCACATGACGCCGGGACACAGCAACTGTCATAAATATGAACCAGTTGCCAAGCATCTGAATTTTGATCAGGGGATGCTGCAAAAATTGTAACTGTGAAAAATGGTCATAAGTCAGTTTTTTCAGTGCTGTTGCAACTTTGAACCGTCACTAAATGATCTGTTGTTAGTCAAGGACTATCTGTATATCAAGGTCATTGTGAACTGTGTCATGGTGGATGTCTTTACTTAATTTCTTCTCTTTTTGTCAACGGCTATGCTGGTGAACCAGGAAGAACATACACAATTTGACATCCATTTGCACACATGCTGTTGAACATTCCCATACATCTTTTCTCATTCCAGGTCATACTGAAGGGGAGGAAAATTAAAACTATCCATCCCTTCTCTGACTAAGATTGAAAAAAAATAATCTGGTCATTCCAAGGTACAGCAAGCATGGATTTGCACGATATAGAAATCAGAGAAATTGCCCAAGGCTTTGGAGAAATTGAGCCTTTCCTGTTTCTGCATGAAGAGGCATTGTTTCTACAAGGACTCTAAACATGAAATCTTTCAAGAAATTAAAAACAGCAGATTCAACATCAATCACTTAGAAAGTCTTTCTGGCGGAGTTTGTGTTTCTGAAAAGCTCTACCAAACACCAGGTGGCTAAGGTTATATTTGTTTGTCTGCAGTATTGATGTCTTTTTAATGTAAAAAAATTCATTTATTTTTCTGTGGCTATGTTAACTGTGTCTCTCACACACAACCTTTTTTTTTTTTGTCTTAAAGATGCAAATGTTGGACAAATTTCCAATGGAAGGAGGACAGAAGGACCCTAAACAAAGGATAATTCCCTTTTTGCCAGGTTTGTAAGGTGAACACTATAGTTCTCAAATGAAATATTTTATATATTCTTTTTATCTGTGTCTGTCTAACTGTTTGTCTGTCTGTCATCTGTCTACTTATCCATCCATCCATTCATTCATCCACCCATCTTCTCTCTCATTCTCTTTATCAATCAATCTATTATAGATTAATGTGGCTCTTTAATTCTCCACTTTTCAGTAACAGTAACAGAGTTGGAAGGGACCTTGGAGGTCATTTAGTCCAACATTCTGCTCATGCAGGAGACCTTTACTATTTCTGACAAATTGCTGTCCAGTCTCTTTTTAAAAGCCTCCAGTAATGGGACATCCACAATTTCCGAAGTTCCACTAGTTGATTGTTCTCACTGTTAGGAATTTTCTCATTTCAGATATATTGACTATAAGTTCTGACTTCTCCATCAGACTTGGCCAAATAGTCAATTTAACTAATATTAACACATTTAGACATTTGAATGGAGATTTGCGATTAGGCTACTTCCAACACAGGGTTTGTGTTCCTATGATCCACTGCAGGGCTTTTCACTGCTTTGGTCTTATTTGATCCTAATTATTTATGTTGATTTCAGTATGGTTCTGGCCTGAATTTCACATAGAAATGACATTAGACAACCTGGGAAATGATATATGCTGAGCAATGTATCATAGAATTTAGTTAGAAGATATTTGGCTTAGGGTGACATCAGTATGTGGATGACACATAGCTCCATTTTTCTATTTGAACAGGCAGTTTTACAATGGATGAGAGAAAACAAGTTGGAAAAAAATCCAGATAAGATTAAACAATTATGGATTATTGTTTTAGATCTGATTTTAGTTGGGACAATATGCTTTATAAAGATCAGATACTTGATCTGGGTATTCTGTTATATTTCCCGTACAAGAATAAATAGGATAATCTGTGCATTGCGAGTGCCAGTTAGACAGATCCAATTACATGTACTCTGGTTAGGGATTACTACTAAAATGCATTGCATTTTAAAGCTTTTAAAGATGCTTTAGAAATTCCAGCTAGAACAAAATGCATGTCCTAAGCTACATATTCAGAACAGATCACATCAGTACTGAACTGTCTCTCTTTGGGGTCTATGAAAATTCATCACGGCCAATTTGCTGTGGCCCACTCGCTGAGGACAATTTACCATGGGACAACTCACCATGGCCAACTCATTGCAGGGAAGCTCGCTGCGGGTCAAGAGTTACACTAATATCAAAGAAATGGTGGAATAGAATCATTAAAGAAAGGATGCAAAAGGAAGGACCGAATGAAATGTGAATGACAAAAATTAAAATAGTTTTTTAAAATTTATTTTAAATAATTAAATAGAATTGTTAAATTGTCCCACAGCAAGCTGGCCATGGCAAGTTATCCAATGGCAAGTTGGCCATGGTGAATTGGCTGTGGCGAGTTGTCCCATTCCATTCCGTTTGTTGCCTTTTTGATTCTACATTGTGTAATTTTCAGATGGCCATCTTGGGACTGTGCAGTATAATATGTCAGATTTCCAACTGAACGTGGTAATGGAAGAAGAGATCAAGATAGGTGGGATATCTTTAAAATGGTAGTATTAAAAGTATAAAAGAAAAAAAAAGACAAGTACAGTAGGAGAAGCTGTGTGTCTCTACAGAAACTTAGTGAATATCTGAAAAAAAGAAAAAAAAAATCCCACACATAATGGAAATATAAAGAGAATTGGGGGGGGGGGAAGAGTATAGAACTGTAGATCTAGTGCCAAGACAACATTCCGAATCAGCTGGGATGAGCAAGAAGATTGTTTCATTGATTTATTATGAGTCATCAAGTCATTTTTGCCACATATCTTGAATTTTTTTAAGAGGGATTGAAGCAAGTTCAGAGAAGGGCAATGGGGATCTGGGTTTTGGAAGCTACATCCAGAGGGATTGAAGGAAATGGGAACATTTACCATTGAGAAGAGATTGAGACTGAGGGTATTCCTAAATATTTCAAAGAATGTCACACTGAAGAAATTTGAGAGTGTACAACATGGAATAATAGATTTAAATACCAGATGGCAGATACTGATTTACCATTAGCTAAACCTTCTAATGGTAAGACTAATGTATCTTTGACTTGTCTCATATTTCCAAATAAACTGTAGACAGCTGGGGTAGATTAATTTGGATTTCTGCACTGAATAGGGAGATGGACCCCATAGCTTGTATGTCACCTTCTAACCCTATGATTCTCTTTTAGAGTTACAAATATACTTGTTCTGAACTATTGACTCTTTTGATTTAGATTGATGGAAGTTGCGTATTTGGAAGAATCAAGACTGGGAAGGGTGGGTGTAAAATTGGATTCTGTTAGGCAACTTAGCATCCCAAATTTCAAATTGTTATTCTTCCCCAACTCTCCATTGCTTCAATATAGTATCACAGATTTCCAAATAGCCTTGTGCTGTTTTAATGTGTTTCTATTTTGGCTGTATAATTGTTCCCATTAAAACATTCCATTATGCAACTGTGCTTTTCCTCAGATATGGGCAGAATTGCAACTTAGTAACCATCATGGTTATTTCAGGAGTTGCATTCTGATTCCAGCTGTTCCCTGGATTGTGGTAGCAGCAAAGCAAGACTCACTCTGGCATGAATGCAGAGAAAAAGAGCATGCTGTGCAATTTTTCATGCCAGAAGAACGAAATAGGAGTGATATAACATCAGACCCAGCTGGCCAGCATCTCCAATTTGAACAAATAGAAATTACAGTTTCAGTATATTCTGTTTCTGAAGCGTTGTAACCTATTTTTGGACAGCTCGGGGAAATTTGTTTCCAAAAAGGTTACGGCAATGGTACATTTTGCTTGCTCAGTGTCTTCATTCCTTTTGGAAGCTTGGAAATTTTCCTTTTTGTGGAATTATTTTATGATGGAAAGCAGAAGTGATAGTGATGTTCTCCCAATGTGAGTTCCTAACAGAGTTTTGGGAAATCCATAAAAATAATCACAAATGAGGAATTCAATATACAAATCTGATTCCATAAAATCCTAGCAGTGGAATGGACTGATCAGCCCTTTCCTTCATTAAAAAAATCCAGTTTGAATCATTCTTGAAAGCTGGTGTCTGCAATTGTCTGAATGCATCCCTCAGGAAGCCATCAAACTGCTTATATTGTATAGTGTTTCTCCACCTTAGCAACTTTAAGATATATGGATATCAATTCTCAGAATTCCTAGGGAGCTGAGATTGAGAAACACTTGGCTATTAGGAAACTTTGTCTGTTGTTCAACCAGAACCTGTTGAATTTCTTCTAGCTTAAATGTTAGAATTGAAGAAGTGTTACCAGCTTCCCTGGCTAAGACTTGTTTTGTACCTCTGGGAGATCTTTCTTGGCCAAGGAAAGCTTTTACAGGCTGACATGTATAAATGATTGGAAATAATCAGACATTCTGTGCCTGGCAATTTTGCAAGGGCAGAATGATGTAGGTCTGCAGTTCCTTGAATCTTGCCTTGTTCATCCACTGGAACAAGTTCTCTTATTTCAAACCCCAAGACAGGAACCAGAGTTTTCTGTATCAGCTGTCACTTATGACTCTTTCTAAATAAAATGTGAAGGAAGAGGGAATAGCTTTCGTGTTTGGGTGTGTAGATGTGTTTGTATATGTATTTTGGGAAAAATAAAAAGTTGATTTTACAATAGAGAACTTAGGCTTGTTTGCATTCCAACCTTTTCCAGTTATCACCCTTCTTATTCTTCCCTTCTGTGCAGTTTTTCTTTTAATAATCCCATACCAACCCTTGAATTTCAGTATCAGTGTGGGAATTTGGCTCTTGCTTTATAATTCAAACATGCTGCTTTCTGGGAAGCCCTCCTTGGTAATGTTATACATTGTGGTTCCTGACATCTGAAAAATGTTTCCAGTTATCCTGTCTACCCAGCTGCCTCTAGCTTTTTACTTTTTCCCCGAATCTCTAACACAGTTAGATTTGAGCCCTTTGATAGGAAACGAAATAGTTGATCAGCAGCTCTTTTCTTATCTAAAGAAGGTATTTTAATACAATAAATATTTAAAATTATGTTTTAAAGGATAGGCTGCAATGCTTTTGCTATGATTACTTTATGTTATTGTTTGAACATGAAAGAAATATAAGGAATTGGGCAGAAACTGGGAAAGGTACAAAAATGAACACAAGATAACTGAGCTTACAAAGTTAACTATAGAGAAGAAAATAATGCTTTAGATTTTTTTATTAAAATATATATCACTTGATTGCCAATCCATGGTTTAGTTACAAAAAACCTATTTCTAAGTTTACAGAATTGTTCCTAACTTCTTTTCATGCTTATTTTATTATATTCTTGGTACTTGGATCCTAGATCCTGTATTAATCACCATCATCTCTGTTTTCCATTGTAAAATAATTCCACAAGAAGGAAAATTTCCAAGCTTCCCAAAAGGAAAGAAGGCACTGAGCAAGCAAGTTTAATTAAATCAGGTTAGCTATTATATATATAGTGAGTACCTGTAATTTAATTTCTATTGAATAAGATGGTAATCCATAATAGTATATGATAAATAAGAAGACATTAAGCATCAATGACCTGTAACAGCTGATTATTTTTTCATTAAGCCAGGTTATAACACCAAGATTATAATTCTATAGCTCAGATAAGAAAACTGAGGTTTAAACAGTTGAATTGGGCTTCTGTCTTTTGGACAGAGTGCCTAATGTTCTTTTTTTAATACTGGATCACTTTATAATGTCCTGGAATCAAAGGTGACTGAGGTTTCAGACATGATCATGCCTTTATGGCTTCTCTTGACCCATCACTCCCGACACTGCCCATGGTTTATGGGGGAGTTGTGCGTTCTGAAAAGGGCTGAGAGAGGTCTAGAGAGCTGCTGAAGGAAACAAGAGATTAATTCGACCAGATAAAACTTAGAGCTGCTATTAAGTCATACCTCATGGCGGTAAGAATGGCGAAGCACCATTATTTCTCTATCCTAATTGCATCCATTGG